TAAAAAATTAAAATTTTGCTTTATTAAATAATAATTTTTGTTAAATTGCACTGTACTTTCTTAAATATTGACAATTTTAACGACATAAGCTCCTCTCGATGTTACACTCATCAAGAGCTTTCATTTGAGTACCTACATGCATTTTGATATATTTTTCATATATACATATATAAAATATATATAAATATATAAAAAATTGATGTAGGTACTCAAATGAAAGATCTTAATGAGTGTAACATCAGGATGAGCTTATATCTTTAAAAATGTCAATAATTCACAAAATACAAGGTCATTTCTTAATTATGTATAAATAAAATTTTTTCATTCAAGAGCTTTTCTCTAACGAATTTTTGTTTTAGAATAAAACAGTGAGGTTCTAATTTGTAATTGATAGGTAAAAAAAAATTCTTAACATAATAAATAATAAAAATAAAAATTTATTAAACATTTATTGGACTTATGAAGTTGACAAATGTGTTAAAAAAAAAAAAAAAAAAAAAATTAATATATAATAATAAATAAGGAGTAGGACGTGGAAGATAGTTATAATAGGTGGGTCGACAATGAATCCTCATCACGAGTGTGTCAGAGCCTCGAAAATAAGACCTCGTTACCGGATTCTCTGGGAGATTGTCGTCAGCCGCGTAAACGGCGTATAAATCTTGCACTTTCACATTCGTTAACTCTCTTACTGTAATCATGTGTAACGCAAAAGGAACGAAAAAAAAAAAAAATGGAGAAAAAATCCGTAACTTTATCACTCTAGATTAAATGATAATTTTATCGGGTACAAAATTATTATTTTATCTTTTAGCGGAAAAATGCTTTAACGGATCTTGTGAAATTTTTTTCCCTCGCGTTTTATTTAACAAGAATGAAATCTAGTAGGTTATTATCGTGTCACGTCGTCGGGTGACACGACACGTGTCACTGGTCACCGTACACTGGTTTAATAAAATAAAAACACGCTATCGATGGAAATTGTTAAAACATTTTTATGTCGGCAATTATTTTGTTGTTACAGTAATCGGGACTTATCTTTTGCTTTCATATTGTGTTTATTATTTTTTTTTATAACATAATCTTGTTAAATTTATCAATAATAATAATAATTTTATAAATTTTAAAGCATTCATTTTTTATGAAATGAAAAAAAATTAAATATTAACAACAATTTATAATTTACTAAAAAAATTTTTTTAAATAATTTTTTAAACAAGAAAATAATTTTTAAAAATTTTATTGTATTAAATTAAATAGAAAAATTATTAAATTTAGTAAAAATTACTTTTATTTTTTAATTTAATTCTAATATTTATTTTTTTAATAATAAAAATCACAATTATAACAAAAAAAATATTTTTTTTAATTAAAAAAATATTTTCTGAATTTTTTTTTTAATTTTTAAGTTTGGAATTTTTTTAATAAATTTTTTCTATAAAAATTTTAAGTTTTAATTTTGATAAAACCACAAAATCAACAGTTAATTTTTTCTACTAATTAAAAAAATCAAATAAATTTATAAAATCTATAAAATTTATTGAAAAAAAAATTTGATAGGACGAGAAAAGTTATGAAAATAAGGATAAACTCAAGAACGAGGAAGAAGGTGAATGGACGTCGAAAATAAAAACGTAGAATAGAATAAAAAAGATAAAAATTGCTCTGAGAGTGTGAGTGCGAGTGTGTAAGAGCAAGTAAGAGCCAGAGGACTGAAAGTGGGACGTTTTTTGTTGCAGGTGAGGCTATTCACCTTGCCAGGGACTTTGGATACGTGTGTGAGACGGAGTTCCCGGCGAAGCAAGTTGCCGAATACCTCAGTCGGCAGCACTGCGAGCCCCAGGACTCGTACAGGAGAAAAGAGCTGCTTCATGCCACCAAGTATGCTTCACTTCTTTTATTCAATTCAATTAAATGAAGTTGAAGTTGAGTTTGATTTCTGACCGACTTCTTCACAATTTTCAGACAAATCACCAAAGAGCTGATGGACCTGCTGAATCAGGACAGGTCGCCGCTGTGCAACACCAGACCGGCACACATCTTGGACCCGAATATACAAAGACATTTGACCAATTTCTCTCTGATATCTCACGGGTTTGGAAGTCCGGCTATTGTTGCTGCTTTGACGGCAATTCAGGTAAATTTTATTCTTTTTTCCCATTAAAAAAAAAATTATTAAATATTTATTTATTTATTTATTAATCAACATACGCCTATCAGCAATATACATCAATAAAAAGTATTTAAAATTAATTTATTAAAAAATTTATTGATTATAAATTGAAATTTATGTAAAAAATATAGATACAATATATTTTCTATATCTAAATTTTTTTATATTGTAATAAATTAATTTTTTTTACACTTTGTAATATACAGTGGACTCTCGATAACTCGAACTTCAATAGAAATGATAAAAACTTTGAGTTAACAAGTTTTAGATTTAACAAGATGTTAAAAATTTGCAAGTAGACCAAAAATTAAGAAAACACTTGATTTCTGTTATATAAAGCATATTTGTTTTAAAAAATTACAAATTAATAAGGTAAAAAATATTACAAAGTCTATTATTTTTTTTTTTTTAATAAAAAATTATCAGACTTGTTATTAATTAATTTCTCAAGCTTAAATAGTGAATCAATTACATGATCCTCAATGTTCACAAACGAGAATATAAGAAGCATTGAGAATTTCTATAGAAATTTAGATTTAATTGCTATAAGTTTGGACAATTCCGAGAAAAACGTCTTTATATTTTACTAATTTCGACTTATAGAGTTTCACTTGTAAAATTCAACTTATAGACCTAGTTATCGAGTTATAGACCTTGTTATCAACCTAAAACAGCTAATTTGTTGATTATCATACATACTTACTTTTTTTTTTTTTTTTTTTTTTTT